TACTTGTTGTCGTCATGGATGCCATTACGAGATCTCCAGAAGCCGGCTCCATGGACGCTTCTTTATGCTGATGACGTGATGCTCGCTAGCGAAGATAAAAGCACGCTCGAGCAACAGGTGCAAGCCTGGTCCGACCGTCTAGCTATGTTCGGGCTCAAGGTTGAACGTCAAAAAGACTGAGTACTTGACCACCGATTCCGAGTGAGCCAGGCTCTATTAAGATCAATGGTACTGAGCTCACACGTGCAACATCATTCAAGTATCTTGGATCAGCAATCGCGTCTGACGGCAGCCTGGTCTTCGAAACGAATTCTCGCGTGAATGCAGCCTGGTCGAAATGGCGCTCGATGACTGGCGTTCTCTGCGATAAAAACATGCCAGAACGTCTCAAATCTAAGATCTATAGGACCGTCATCCGACCGGTCGCGAGAGAAGAAGAAGAAGAAGTGGTGAGTAAGCATAAGAGGGCTACCGTGCTGGACTTTAGCCTCAAATACAACTCCGGTACACTTTGGGTTCTATTCAAGTTTGAGTGCACACAAAGCGCTATGCACTTCAACTTCCTCCACGCGACGACCCCAGAGTTCCTCCTCTCCAATGAGCTTAGATTAGCCTTATCCTGAGCATGGTGTGTGAGAAAGCCTAGGAGAGCAGGAAACATTCGCAAACACCTTTAGTGCAAGAAACAATAGCCGCTGTGACATAGTGGCGCCAAATGGAGTCAAATGGCGCCAGCGTCAAAACTAAATATTGTAGATATGTAAATACCTTGTATTTGGTTACAATACTTATTTTTGTCACTTATCTATGTATCTACTTATCTATGTTCACTTAGCCTTTGCCTAGCCGATCTCTGTTATACCGTATCTCATTTCATAACCCACTATCGTTGTACTTAATCTCCCCTTTTTCGAAATCCTTGTGAATCTCATGATATCCACGTGGGCACCACTATATAAGGCTTTAGGCCCCGCCCCTTTGTTCTTTCTACTCTGTTGCGATCTGTCGAGCGGTTCGCTCGTAGTCAATAAAGTTTCCAGGTACAAGCTGTTTGACACCCCTAGACGACAGACAAGCAGACCGGACCCGACATAGGGGCCGAACCGAAGGAAACGACTGGAGCAGCCGCCAAAAGCCGGGAAACCGGAAGGCGAGATCCCTGCCATAATAAAAGGCAGTGAGCAGCACTTCGAGGAAAGGAGGTGCGTACCGTGAGTACGGTATCCTCCATCTCCTCGCGAGTGTGAAGACCTGTCTCGAGGGGAATCTCGAGCAGATCGCTGTCATATCGATTGATTTCAATCGACAGCAGAGAAACGGTGCAAGATTTCGCAACGCTCATCTGCACAAAAATCAAAACAGATTAGGAGCTTCGAAAATATTGACCGGATATAACTGTTGTTTTGACTGGTGTACTGTATCGCTCGTCTTAGCAATAACAAGAGGGAGTTTGAGCCTTACAGTAACCACATAAAAAAAGACCCTGGATGCCTCCAAGCTGAGTCGTTCTATTCCGGAAGAACGTAAAACTGAGGAAAAGAATCGTCCACAGTTCAGACAAAAGAGAGTCTACCTGCGCCCACGACCACTCAGAATAAAGAGTATAAGGTGCCAATGAGCCAAAGACGGGTGCCAAAATGTAACAAATGCAATGAGTACGGCCATTTTCCACGGGATTGCAAGAAAACTAATGGGCAAGGGCCTAAGTCGAAAATGGGCCCAAAAACAACCAAGGAAGTCCCACCACACGAACCGCTCGTTTTCACTGCGACCTCCGGAAAACGGCTAGATCTAGAGCATAAAGTGTCTCCGCGAACTACGGCTACTGTGATGTTACTGGGACTTACACGAGCAGCGCTCCTAGACACTGGATCACAGATAAGCATAATACCGCTCGAAATGCTGCGAGCAGGCCAAGCATCTGGTTTCAATCTCGACGAAGACGTTGAGCAATTTCCGTTGGAAAACCAAGCACCAATCTTGGATGCTTCTGGCAACAAAATGCAGTTCGAGGGAGCAGTGAGGTTGACGTTGGAACTCGAGGAAGGCGAGAAGCGTCGAGTTGCGTTGTTCGTAAAGGCTGGAGGAGACGACACACTAGTTTTGGGAACTAACGCCCTGCGAGCTCTCGGAGTCAGCCTAATTACGAAGGGTACAAAGGGTCATACCCGCAACCAACACCTCGGGCCAGCACAATCCAGCCCCATAGGCGCAATACGCGCACAAAACGGAAGAAATTGCCGACTAGTGAACGAGTCGTTGTCAGCAAACGAACATACCTTCGACCAGGAGAAACAAAATTGCTTCCTGTGCAGTGTACTGAATCCGGGAAGAAGGGGATTCTCTGGTCAAAATGCAGTTTAGTACCGAATATATTTGTCACAAGGCAAGCCACTCCCTGGAAATCCCGTTACCAACGACTTTGCAGGAGCAAAAATTTTTCGGGAGGGGGAGGAGGTAGGCACCTATGAGCCGGTCAAGATACGCGAAGCAGAGCCCGTGAAGTGTTACGGTGATATGCTCGAGCGTACGGCCGATGTGATCAAAAACCGGGAAGAAAACTGCTGCGACTGTTGTACGAGAATAAGAGTGGGAAGCAAGAAGAAGGTATGGATACCCTTGTGAAGAGCTACAGCTTTTTGCTGTCAGTGAACTGACCCAAACTACACTAGTCGAGCATTCGATTGAAACTGGTGATGCAAAGCCGATCAAGCAAAAAGCACGTCCGATACCGCTATCTACCCGAGTAGAACTCCGTCAAATACTAAGCGACCTACAGGGGAGAAAAGTGATTGAACCCAGCAGTTCAAGTTGGGCATCTCCTATTGTATTGGTCCAGAAAAAAGACGGCACGTTAAGGTTGTGCGTGGACTACCGGAAGGTGAACCAGGTAACGAAGACGGACAGTTACCCGCTTCCAACCATTGATACAATCTTGCAGAGTTTAAAAGGCAAAACAAGGTTCTCCACCCTTGATCTTTCGTCAGGGTACTGGCAGATTAGCCTCTCGCAAGATGCTAAGGAGAAGTCCGCGTTTACCACAACCGAAGGACTCTACCAATTTCGAGTGTTGCCATTTGGGCTGGCATCATCTCCAGCGGTATTCCAGCGGCTTATGCACATAGTTCTCGGACCGTTACTAGGCGATGAGGTGTTTTGCTACCTAGATGACATAATGGTAGCAACAGACTCTGTTGAGCGACACCTAAAAGTAATGGAGGAAGTGTTCAAAGCCCTGAGGAAAGCAGGACTAAGACTGAATCCGAGGAAGTGTGTTATAGCTGAACGGAAAGTGGAGTTTCTCGGACATGTCATTGACGGCGAAGGATTGCACATGGATCCAGCAAAAGTGGAGGCTATCAAGAAGTACCCAATTCCACGGACGCGTGCAGATCTCCGCTCATTCCTAGGCATGTGCTCCTACTATCGTAAATTTGTGCTAGGATTCTCGAAGGTTGCAGCACCGTTGCATGAGATGACTTCGGAAAAGAAGGCTTTTGTCTGGACGCCTTCTGCGAAGGAATCAGATTTGAGAAGTTGAAAACGAAATTTCCAGATTTGAGAAGTTGAAAACGATTATAACGGAAGCTCCCGTACTCGCACAGCCAGACATAGAAGCTGCAAGGAGCGGGAGGAAACCATTCAAAATCCATACCGACGCTAGCACAGAAGGCTTAGGAGCGGTATTGAGTCAGGAGGGAGAAGATGGATTTCTCCACCCCATATTCTTTGCGTCGAAAGGTCTGTCTAAATGCGAGAAAAATTGCCATGTAAGAGATCTTGAAGCGCTCGCAATATTTAATGACCACCAGGCATTGACAGCTCTATTCAAGAGGAGCAATGTGTCAGCCAGAATTCTTCGCTGGGCTTTAGAGCTACAAAAGTACGATGTGAAGATGATCTACTTGAAAGGGGCCGCAAACAAGGTAGCAGATGCCTTAAGTCGCGGAGCAATACCCCTAAAAGATCTCTCCATCGAAGAGTCCCATGCCGAATGATCTTATTGTGGGAGCGGTTCAGAAAGAACCAGAATGGACAACAGAGTTGCGAGAGCACTACCGTACGGGAAAGTCGTAGCTGACATTGGAAAAAGGAAGGTTGGATAATGACGTGAAATTCCCTGGAGTTGCCCGTTATTACAAAGTCGCCGATTTCGCGATGGACCATGGGAATCTCGTTCTAATGGAGAACGAGCAGCGCCGAATGGTTGTCCCTCCATCTCAGCGGAAAAAGGTTTTTGACGAGGCGCATGCTGGCCTACTAGCTGGACATTTTGGGCCGAGAAAGCTAATACGGCAGCTGTCCAAAAGGGTGTTCTGGGAGACGTTGAGCCGAGATGTGGCCAAATGGTCAGAAGAGTGCCGCGAATGTTTGTGTCACAACGCTCAACTGACTATTACTCCACCGCTCAAACCCTTTGTACGTCGAAGCCCTATGAAGTGGTGGGAATTGACATACTCGAAATGGGACCGACTAGCAGTGGCAACCGGTACATACTCACCATAGTTGACCACTTCTCGAAATATGGAGGTGCGTACGCGATACCCAATAAAGCGGCAGAGACTGTGGCAAAAGCTTTTTTTGGGAAAGTGGATCGCAGAAGGATGCCGCCAGCTAAAACGTACAGGGTGGTCCAAAATTATGAGGACCCAGATATTTCATCGCAGCAAACGAACACTGAGCTAATAGAATAAACCAACTTCACAAAAGTGTTTATCACTATACTCTAAATACACAACAAGATCAAAATTGGAATCTGTCGCCAATGGCTTTCACACAGGCACGCAAACGACGAGGGAAAAGCGTCGACCGTGGCACGCAGGTAGGATGGGTTGAGTTCGTCCCAGGTTTTTTGCAGTGCCTTCTTGAGACTATCCAGGTTTTTGTGTGGTTTTGCACACGCTTTTGCTTCAAGTACTGACCACACTGAAAAATCCATGGGATTAAGGTCGGGGCTGCTCGGTGGCCACTCGTCAAAGGTTATGAAGTCGGGGAACTCCCTCTTACAAAACTCTTGGACAATTTTCGACTTAGCAGGGGCTCCATCTTGTTGAAACGTCCAGTTAGAATCACCGAAATGTTCTCTTGTCCATGGCAGGAGTTCGTTCTTTAGGAGCTCCAAGTAGGATTTCGCATTAACTTTTACTCCTTGGGGTACGAAGATCAGCGGCGTCTTCGCGTCGGCGGTGATGCCCGCAAAAACCATCAACGAAAGCGGGTGTGTTTTGCGCTGAATCACTTCTTTCGGTTTTTTTGATTTTGCATAGATCCTGTCGTTCTGTTTATTGAGCACCTGTTCCACAGTAAATATCTTTTCGTCGGTAAATAAAATTTCCCTATGACGGTTTCTTCGAAAACGACGTAACAATTGTTGAGAGCGGTCCTTTCTCTTCTTTTTGGCTTCATTACTCAGAAACTGGCCTTTCGATTGTTTGAAGGCTTTCTCATGTAAGTGATCTATCACAATTCTTCGCACAGAACTTCGTGAAATGTTCATTTCTTTAGCCATTTTTCGTACAGAACGAGCTCCATTGCGGCGCATCCTCTCGCCCACTTTCTTAATATTCGTCCTGGATGTAACCGTATTCTTCCTACCTCTACCTTTCCTATCAGCGATTGTTCCCAACTCCTCAAAGCGTCTGATGGTCGACCATACAAGTTGTTTTCTTACGTGGAGCCGTCTGCAGATGTCGCGTGCCAAAAGTCCTTGCAAATGCAAAGTGATGATTGGTTCACGATAGGCTGACGCTTTCATTTTTTCTAAAATTTGCCGAACTTTTAGCGCCAGTCGGAAGCAAATTGTCTAATCTCTACTATGTAATACAAAAAACAGGTTGGGGATTCGAAAGATCGAAAAAAAATCGATAAGCGCGCTCGCACGCTCGCGCGCTCGCTCGCGCGGTTCTCATAATTTTGGACCACCCTGTATACTCTCCGATCAGGGAGGAGAGCTCGACAATAAGCTGATGGAGAACTGAAGAAAATCCTGGGAATAGAACATGTGTTCACTAAAGGGTACAACCCCCGTGAAAATGGATTAACGGAGAGGTTTAACCAGACCATCATCAAAATGTTGCGGAAAAAGGTGCAAGTTCCAACTGAATGGGACAAAATATTGCCTTATTGCGTTTTCGCGTACAACACTACCGCTCATGAGTCAACAGGAGAATCACCATTCTTTTTACTGCATGGTTTCGACGCATATGTGCCATGGAACTCAGTCCCTGAGCCTCACGTAAGCAAGTACATGGTGGACATGGACAGCTACGTGCAAGAGATGGCTGTATAGAGCAGAAGAAGTGCTCACAAAAGATACACCACTTGATATAAAACAATGGCGTT